CTTTTCCTGTCTGTGTCCACTGGCCTCAAATTCCACTGGCCACCTTGGCCCCAACAGGGCAGCGGTGGGAAAAGATTCAGCCAGTGGCAGGGCTGCCTCGAGGGTGTGAAGCAGCCAGGGCTGTCCTGAAGGACCACGCTCCCACGCGCGCAGCTGCCCACCGCCTGTTCCTTCCTTCACTCTAACGGGCGTTCTTTACTGAGCACCAGGCACCGCACCAAGCGATTCCACGTATGAGCTCATTTCATCCCCACACTACGAGTGGGCATTTTCATGACCAGCTTTGCACAGATGAGGAAACTGAGGCACAGGGAGTTGATGGACAAGTCCATGGGTTCCCAGCCAGTACATAGTGGAGTCAGGATGCAAAGCCGGCAGACAGACTTCCGACACATCCAGTCACCTCACGGCTGATTGCTGAGTCCCTGCTCTGGGCCTGGCCTCAGTCTGGAGCCTGGTGATGAATTAGTCATGGTCCCCGCGCTTGGGGAGTTCACAGCCGCTGGGACCCCCATGGGTAGGAGGCTGGGGATGACCGTGGAGCGGGAAGGATGTGGAAGAAGACACTAACCCCTATTTTCTCCCCAGTGAAAGTGACAGCCAAGCCGAGGGCAAAAGGGAGCAGGGTTTTTCCAGATCCAGGGAAGAGGGCGTTCCAGGCAGAGGGGGTCACATGTCCAAAGACTTGGAGCTGAGAGCAAGCTTGTCTGGGAGCGTTTCAGTAAGGCTCTTGCATCTGATGAAGCAGGAGATAAGTCTGGAGGAGTTGGCAGCCTCCAATGCCAGCCTGGATCGGGGCAATAGGGAGCCATGGAAGGGTTTTAGGCAAAGCAGGGACATGTCAGACCTGTGGTTCCAAAGGGCCTCTGCAGCCAGGGAGGTCAGCGAGTGGGAGAGAGATTGGAGACAGGGAGACCGGAGAGAGGCTGAGCCATGTCTGCCTGAGGGGCTGTGAGAATGTGGGAACAGGAGGCGGGAGACACGGATCTCATAGGCTTCTCGGGAGACAGGCTGGCGGCAGAGACTGGGTGCCGGTCAGACAGACGGGGTTCCAATCTATTTATCTGCCTTCTCTGAGCCTCAGAGTCCCATCTGTGAAACGGGGTAATAATGGCACCTGCCTCCCAGAGCCAGTATAAAAGTCACATGAGATGTGGAGAGAGGCATAGGCTGCTGACCTCATCCTCGTCCCACAACTGCTTCTCCAGCTCCTGTTACGTTCCAGACGCTGTTCTAGGTTCTGGGGACCAGCAGCCATTGACAAAAATCTCCGGCCTCGTGAAACTTGGTTCCAGCAGGAGAAGTCTGAAGGGCAGGAATGAATTTAGACGGTGTTGGTGGGGTGGGTGGGGATATGGCCCTCAGAGAGGGCTTCTCTGAGGACGTGAAGGGCATGAGGACGTGAGTCCTGAGGGGTTCCTGCAAGGTTGTTCCAGGAAGAAAGAAGAGCAAGGGTGAAGGTGTGTGGAGTAAGGGGAGGGCAGGAGGAGGGGACCCAGGTCACACGGGCCCCTGAGGACTTGGGCTTTTGCTCTGAGGAGGCCAGGAAGCCCTCTGAGATTTAATCCACGGCAAACAGATGAATGGCTGACCACCACTCCACTTGTCCACTCTGCAAACCTTTATTTGAGGGCCTGCTCTGTGCTGGTCACCGGGTTAAGGAAGTGGATACAGTGATTAAGGCAGACCCGGCCCCTGCCTCTTGAAGCTTACATTCTAAGGAGAAACACGATAAAAGTGAATACACCAGAAATGCATACTTCCACATGCAGCGGAGGAAACAGATAGGGTGCAGAGAAAGAAAATGGTCTAGGGGCGTCTACTCAGACCCAGGGGAGGGGGGCTTCTCTGAGGAGGGAGATTTAACTTGGGCTCTGGATGTGGAGGAGTCCGCCAGTGGGGAGTGAGCATTCCAGGTGGGGGGACAGCGAGTGCGAAGGCCTGGAGGTGAAAAAGACACCCACCAGGGAACCGCTGTCTTCACTTGGAGCAGGAGGATTAGACTCTCGTTTGTATCCGAGAGACAGGTGCACCCCGAGGACTGTGGTCAGGAGCAGGGGGCCCTGGCCTTTCCAGGGAACACCAGGCAGGATTCTGGCTGACTCTGGCCTATTTCTAGCCTGGAACTGCTTCCGTCAACCCTACCAGCTGCCTCTTTGCATCACCAGCCAATTACCAGTAGGAACAGGGGGCCAGGCACCTCCAGACCTGCCGGGAGGGAAGTTCTGCAGCGGCGAAGAGGCAGAGAGGACTGCGCTGAGGTTACAAGACCTTCCAAGGGGGGCTGGTTTATGTTCCAGCTTTATTCTCATGGAC